ACCAAATCTGCAAAGGAGCCACATGTCCAAAAGTCACGATTCACTGCGCCTGTCACGAAATCTGAGCTCCTCGACGATCACCACCGTGTCCAAAGTGCTGCACCTGCCACGAAAACTGCATATCGAAGTAAAAGAGCTCCGATCCCTTGCACCTGTCACGAAAAGTCGACTTTGAAACACCAAAACACGAGGCTTCCCCTGCGCCTGGCACGAAAAGTGACCACCATGTGCGAAAATGGGCACGGCGCCACAACGAGAGCGCAGTCGTTAGAAGCACCCGCCCGGGGCACCCAGACTGTGTGAGCCTGCGCAGTCGAAATGCACATAAGACACAGGTGAAAACTCTAGTTATACAATGGAGGGACGATTCGACCATGATCCGACCATGAGCCGAGGCACCCAGACTGATGTCAGCCTGCGCAGTCGAAATGCACTTTAGACACAGGTGAAAACTCTAGTTACAATGGAGGGAGTTCTGCAGAGCTAGCCTTGCCAGGTTCGGAACCACCCTTTGTATTGAAAAACGCAGCATTTCGTGCGTCCGCTATCTCTCGAACATGCATTTTGTACGAGACGTCCTTCCAAAGCGCATGTTGAAGAGCTGACCAGAGCTACAGCTGACTGGAGTTAAAGCTATAACTAAAGCTAGAGCTGACTGGAGCTAAAGCTGAGTAGTAGTAGTAGTAGTAGTCGTCGTCGTCGCCGTCGTCGTCGTCGTCGTAGTGGTAGTCGTAGTCGTAGTGGTAGTGGTAGTGGTGGTAGTATATAGTAGTAGTGGTGGTAGTAGTGGTGGTAGTAGTAGTGGTAGTAGTAGTGGTAGTGGTAGTAGTGGTAGTAGTCGTGGTGGTGGTCGTAGTGGTAGTAGTAGTAGTAGTCGTCGTAGTAGTAGCAGTAGCAGTAGCAGTAGCAGTAGTAGTAGTAGTAGTAGGAGTAGGAGAAACTTCCTTTGATCAGTCAAAGGGTACACAAAGTCCTTCAAACCTGTTCATTGCACTGATACAGTATCGTTCAGTACAAAGTAGGTACGTGCAGCACCACTTTCTGACCTTGGCCTCTTTTTACCCGGTCTTAACTTGTTTTTGGCAATTCTGAATGCACAACGTGAGACTTCTGGCAAACATAAATATCCTGAGAGCCCCAGCATCTTGAGGGTGGATTCACGCTGCTCCACCCCCTGCGCTTGCCACAGCAGAAACTCACGTTCAAACCGTACAGGAACTGCTGGGTCCGACGGGCTGACTCGATTATATACATTGCGTCGTGTGTGTGTGTATGTGTGCTGGAAAGCTGTGAGATATTGGATATTATAAAACGATAGACTACAATATGACACCCCCATGCACGTGCGGACAATGTTTCGTTCACAGCACTAGCTTCTGGGTGAGTTCAAGTCGGAACATTCAAAAGCTACAGTAGGGGTTTACTTCGGACAACTGCTGGTCGGTGTCTATTCCTTCTTAATGTCCCCAGTCTCTTCGCACCTCAGAAGGTAAATTCAATCTGCCCAAGGCATCAATTGCAGAGCGCTTCACACTCAGCTGGACATCATCCAGGGCCAGCATCACCTGGGCGAGCTCTGACTGCAAAGCGCCCAACGACGCTTCACTTCAAGACTGCCCTGGAAGATCCTGGAAGCATGGCTGGAGTCTGGAGCCTTTCTGAAAGTGCTGAGGCTACCGACTTCTTTGAGGATGCAGTACTGCCATTTGGGCCTGGTGACTCCAAGACACTCCGAACTGCAAATAGTAGCTTATTGTTACTAGTTGTAAGGCCAGGAGCCCCTAGGCCCTAGTAGCGTCCGTGCTCCTAGTAGCGATGCCCGTTGTTACTAGGAGCGTCTTGTTCCTGTGAGATGCTGTGAGTGCACAGCGCAAGGTCACATGTTTGAAAGCGGACGAGACGAGAGATGAAAGCATCAACGGCTCGGACGATATGCCACACCTCTGCTCCCGCGCGCAGAGGCATCCCAAGGCTTGGATCTCAGAAGCAATGCGAGAACGAAAGTCAGCTGGTTAGGAATTGTTGGGAGTGCAACAGGTAAAGGATTGCAATGCAGCAAAGCCTTTCATGATATAGAGAAGGCCAATGACATTGTCCACAGTGTTGGATTGGCACTATGCTATGCTTCCCTTATCAATTGCCATATTCTATGCGGTGTTCCAGGCTCTTCCTTTCCACCCAAGTTGGACAGGACACAACGTCTACATACACTCGTACTCTGGAGCTTGTGGCACTTTACACTCACTTTTGCATACTTGTGACAGGCGTGCCTCAGCAAGTGGCAGTATTCAATGATTTAGATGGCCAGGGGGTTGTTTCTGTCTGCTGATACACCTCAATGCCACCCCGATGTACTGTACATGTATACACATGCAACGATTTGATTTCTGTCCATGCTGGGGCATAATCAGTATCTGGCTTCATTTGTCAAGATAGGGGTCTCACACGAACACACGGGAATCACAACAAATTGCAACCAACATGTGTCGTTTTTGCCTGCCATTTGCAGACGGTTCCAACAAAAAATCCACTGAAATCCAAATAACTCTGACTGGTCTCACTTTTTGTATCAGGCGCTTGCCAGGCTCTTGAATCTCAAATGACTTCTCGGTCAATCCGTTAAGCTAACATGACATAACCAAATGACCTGCCCTTCTCGCTTCAGCCATGTCGCAGATTCTTCACGCACATTCCTGACAATGCCATGCTGTGGCATCTTGCATCATACAATGACAAGCACAGTCTGCTATTCTGGTGCGCCTTTCTTCAGATTTTGCTTCTCGTAGGAGTGCTTCGATTAGCGAGGCTCTGGCACGGGGAGAGGCCTCCAAGTGTTACAAAATAGAATCTCTGAAGCGCATGCATCTGTGAACATCTGTGCCGGTGTTAACTCAGCCTGCAGGTGGTCTGTGACTGACTGCTTGACTGCTTGACATGTTGCTCTGATTCTGACATGAACCAGATTTGATCATACATTGCACGTCAACACAGATGCTCGGTGGAGCCTGCCCTCCTCCTTTAAAGTGTAGTGCAATGCCAGCAGCAGCAGCTTCTTTTGTTGCAAAGCACTCATGGCCTAACAGCTTCAAGAGAGAAACCTTGGCTTCGAGAGTGCCAGCAATTATCACGTCAACGCAAAGGTTCTTAGAGCGGCAAGCAACTGCTCTGCAAACGATTTCCAGGGTCATCCTGAATCCTTAATATGTCGACTTGCCAAATCAGTTTCCCTAAACATCTAGGAACCAAATCATTAGTGCGAGCGCTATCCTGCGTCCAGTTACTAGTAGCTGGAGTGGCTAGGAGCAAACTTCTCCCTTACTCAATTGAGTAGGCGGCGGCTACTAAAGGAAAAGAAAGACTTTGAATTATGATAATTGATAATTACATCGACTTGCCTCTCAGAAAGTTGCACCACAAGAATCATTGGATATTGATATCCTTCAGATTACACACAGCGTGCTCCAAAATTCTTTGCACATGTCAGACCGTACAAGACTTTGTGGGCTATGGCAGCCATGATACCAAGGCGGCTTCAGCCAGTCCAAAGTCATCGTCCAAGCAATGGGCAATGGCTTGAGCATGGCGAGCTCCTTCAAAGCCCAAACATCCCAGCGCTTTTGCTGCCTCAAGGCAGTGGGTTAAAACCAGTACTCTGAGGGGATGTCCAAAGGATTTGTAGAGCGCCTTCTGGACTTAACATGCAGTGCGACGGACACAGTTGAAGAGCTTGTGAACCAGAATTTGTGCGTTGGATGGAAAAGTGATGAATTGCTGTCCACCAGCCAAGTGCTACAGTACACCAAGTTACACTCTCGGCGACATCAACAACGTGGTCCTGTTGCAAAGCACAACATGCTTATCACAGATCCACAGCACTTCTCCAGGCTAAATGAGCACATTGACCGCATGGGGTTGCACAAAGACTCAGAGCCATTCTTTCTCTCATCATTGTACCAAATGTTGGATCACGTCAGTCAGTTCTTGATTTAGATTATATAATCCACACGTTATTAGTTTGTTGTTGATTAGACCCATTGTGACTCATCCTTAGTAGACTTGGCTCAGCTTGACATGTTGAAGTTAAACGTGTGTCCCCCATTTGCATGACCATGACCATACGCAAGCTGCAAGCTCCTTCAATCAAAACCTTGTAAACCGCATGTCAAGAGATTCTAATTGAGTGGGACAATGCGGCAAACGTCTTCAGTGTCCTTCAGCAATTTGGAAAGGCGCACTGCTGCCTCCCGCGTCACTGTCACTTCATCCCGCTGTGCTTCAAAGGTCCCGGCAATCTCGCCATAGGTTTCAGCAGCTGCTCGGCGCACTGACCACTGCTCTGCCCAAAGGCAATCCCGAACGGCTTCGGAAGCCCAACTGGCACTCCTTCCTAAAGATGCCAGGGCCGCAAGCAAATCCCGTAGCTCTGCTGCTTTGGGATTCATGTTGAATCTACTGAGTAAAGTTGACGCAAAGGGCATGGTAGCTTCGGGACCAAGGTGACACAAAGCCAAGGCCGCCACACCGCGCACGCGGAAGTCAGGATCATCCATGAGAGCACCGATGTCTTTGTCGATGCCAGGAAGCACAGTCAGCACATCACAATTGGATCCCTGAAAGATGCGCAAGGCAGCGCGGCGCACACCAGGGTTACTATGACTCATCAAGGAAGCAGCTTGATGGATGCCAGGCTCACCTCGGACCGAAACCAAATTATGCCGCAGGCAGATTTGGCAAGAAGAACGTAATGATTGGCCAATGAAATCTGCACATGTTGGGAAGGTGCTAAACCCATCTCCAATTGCTGCAAAGAAACCCAATTTCCTCAAGACCTCGACCGCTGCTTGCCGCTCCAAGGCTTCGCCGTCCACCAGGTACTCTGTCACCAAAGGAGCCGAGACATCACCAAGTCTTGCTAAGCCTCCACGGTTTTGGCATGTTTCAACATCTTGCAAAGGGCAGAAATGAAACACTTGGACGACATCAAACGCTAGGCCTTAATAAACATTCTCTCTTCCCATGCCAACAGCCAGTGTCAATCTCCGAAGTAGTTTCCACATCATAATGATTCTGTATATGAAATTTAAATTGTCTTACAATTGCAGATCGTACAGCAGTTGATACATAGTGAAAATAGACAACCTTCCACAACCCGGCAGTGCGAAGATTGAAACGGACAGACCTTCGGCAGCACGATCAACGACGCATTGGCCATGATGGTGCGACATCAACGGAGCAACCGCTTTAGCCTCAAGCTGTGATTGTCACCCTCTCAATTCGTGCAAGTATTGGACATGGTTGGGTTGGTCAGTGACCCCCTAAACATGGCGATTCTGATTCTTGCTCTGATCCAAAGCAGAATGTGACAATGTGCAAACCAAGACGCTATCTTGGTGGGGTTGAAATGCTCATCACTGGCTGCTTCAGATGCAAGCAAGCACAAAGACCTGGCAGCCTGGCCACGGACATCAGCGCAGTCATCCTCCAAACAAAGCACCTCAGGAACAAAGGAACGGCATCAAACGGGAGTAGAATGGCACAAAAGCTAAGAAAAGAAAAACACTTTGCATATAAATAATCTATTAGACTAGAGATAGTACAAATGAGCACGTCTGTCATATGAAGAATTACATGCATCAATAGATTAAATGGTTAGTCAAGTGGCCATAGCTTCGGCACAAGGTGATGCAGCCGTAGGGCCCGAGGTGCCCAACGCATAGAGGACACATTCCCTCACCTTCCGAGTCTGAGGAGGGCTCCTAGTAGTATGGCCAGGAGCCCCTAGGTGTTGTTCAAAACAATTCAAAACATATTCACCCTTTTGCGATGTGGAAGAGGCAGCGGCAAACCCATCAAAATCCTGTTGATCAAAGTGTGCTCCAGGAATAGCGAAACAGCTGATTCACTGAACCAAGTCTATTTCCAACTGATACTCACTGCTTTTCATATCTTCCCACCTTGTGATTCTCATCCTGCAAGAGTTGCTGAGCCTCTGCCACTAAGCGTAAGCGCTTCCGTGGCAGCGCCTCCAAACCATCTGCCAAGCTCTTGCGAGCCATCAGGCCCAGCTGAAGATCTCGGAGGCCCAGAGCTTCCTGACTCAAGATCTCAATGGATCCTCCAACCTAATAGGAATAGCCTCAAACCTAATAGCGATGTCCAACCTAATAGGAATAGCAAGTGATGCCACCGTTCAGCAGCCAATTTTGTAAAAATGCCAGAGCTTCTGTTTCGACAATGTTCAAATGCACCCTTCCCACCTTCCCCTCACCTTCCAGCAGCTGCAAGGCCACTGCCTTCCGCGCCACAGAGCCGCTGCGCCAAATCCACCTCCAACAACTCTAAGCGTCTCAGGCAAACCGGTCAAGCAGCAAGCAGTGACAGAACCGTGCAGAAATATGATTTCAGCATACATTATATAACTAATTAGCGTTGACCGGGTTGGGCTAGCATGATACATACAATTATCATGACGACGGGAAAAGAGGATGAGGAATGCAATATCACGACATGTTGTACACTTCCGTGAATCAAAGCCTACTAGGAGCAAGAAGCTTCTAGTAGCTCCTGGCCATACTACTGGTAACAAGAAGCTACTAGGAACAAAGGGCATCGCTACCAGTAGCAATTGCCACAGCCCACGGATTCAGCTGCCCCACTTCGCCTCTCCACCACCTCCTGGAGCTTTTCACACAGCAAAAAGCGGCTTAAGGCCAACAACCTCACCGCCACAACAGCATCATAGCACCGCTCACGGCGTTTCTGTGTGAGCCTGGGCGCCGCGGCTTCAAGGTGGAAAATGCGAAACGACAAAGGCTTGATCAACAAAATGGATGCGTCACCATGATTCAGTCAGGTGTCATCCCATGTCAGGCCCTGGAGCGCACAGCTGAGAATACTTATATGATCTTATATGATATATCGTTAAGCATCTTTGAGGCGCTGCCACCTGCTCTCAATGCGAACAAGCTTCGCAAGCTTCACTGGTCGCATGTCCTTGCAGGCCAAGCATACGAGCAAGTACTCAAAGCCTCAAACAGGGACAAGCCTGGCATGTTGATTGATTCACATATGTCCTTGTCGGAGAAAACGCCAGCGACACCCAAAGGCAAACGCCCATGGTTGCCCAGCCATGCCAAGACCTGTGGCAAAAGGCATCGGGCACCACGGCTCAATCGCGCAGTGGCGGGAATCAAGGCACAAAGCTCCGCGACTGAGCTCTCAGTCTCCTTACCAAGTTCACTCAGGGAGAATCACTGAAATCTGTCAAGGATGAAATAATACATCTGATTTTAGGAACTATTTATCTCCAAGAAGGAACAATTCTGGTGAGAAGTACAAAGAGTGAACAGTAAACAAATTACATGAAGACAAGAGCCTTTTCATACAACTCTTGCCTGGCTCGCAGCTCAAGAATCCCCCTCAATCGTGCATGCAACACTAATATGCAACACTCACTGCTTGAAAGTCCTGGAAGGGGCATTCGCGAAAAAAACCACAGGCTGCCAGCTGAGTCCAGCTGATCCGCAGCTCACCGACTCTTCGGTGGGATTCGCAGCCCTTGGCACCATGCCACAGCCGTGCCAAGACACACCGGCGCTCACGGCGCTGGCGCTTCGAGTTCATGGCGAGCTTCGATACCTTGCTCCATGAGGAGGACCTTCGCATGTAATGGTACTGTGGTGCTGTGGTACCTCGTGAGAACACAAATCACAAACTCCTGTTACCAGGTCCATGTACTCCTATGCCTCAAGAAACTGAGAGGAGGACTTCCAAGTTAAGTTGGATTCACAATCTGACACTCCGATTGAGGTATGTTGGAACTTTCTTTGCCCGCTGAAGAAGGGACTAGTTAATGAACACATGTACCTCGACCTACACATGTCATCTGAGTCTTTGCTTTGGTTTTGAGAGTGCTGACTTGGCCACGTGACCATCAAGGACCATCAAGCAAACTGTATTTTACAGGATCAGCTCTAATAGTACTAACTACCTAGCTAACCCTGCTAGTCCGGTAAGCGCTACCTTTTGCTCTACCTTGAGAGTCAACGCTACGGGGTCCATGGGGATGAGGTGAATTTCAACACAAACTCTGAACTAACGATGGACATCGATGGACCATATTCTCCGACAGCAAAGGTATCTGGCAAAAAGCCGTTCCAATTCTTAGACCTTTCCACAACGTCAAGTACGTCAACCAGAACACAGTGGCAGATGCAAGAAGCTTCGAGAAGCTAAAGTCTGTATCCAAGCTGCCACTTGGTTCCATCTTGTGATGTGCCTTGCTGCTTCGCCACACTCACTTGCACCTAGAGGTCAAAACCAGCCGAAGGCTTAAAACTCACAAGCGGTCGATTTCCCACCACCCTGGGGCACCCAAAAACATTGTTTTAAGGAATAACTGAATAACCGTACAGCAACCCTGATCATTGACTATCAGAAGTTTGGAAAACTTTAGCAGCCACCAAACTGCACAATCTCTTCTAAAATGGCCTTTGGCACCAAGACTTACGATGCAGCTAGGCGCGTTCGTATTCCAATCATCAGGTGTAGTGGCGGAATTGGAGGCAGAGGCAGAGACCACCTCATGTCATTCATTGGTTCTCATACAGTGAATGATGAATTTTGGAAGAGACCTCACCATTCGCGACCATCTTCGATGAGGTTTCTACCTTTGAGCCAAGCAGCTCCAAGGAGAACCATGGAGGTCACGACCTGAGCTAGTCCAACGTTGGATAAACGACGAAGACGGTCGTGGAGAGACTTGTTCGACCAAACAGACGTGAAAAAGCCTTGGTGACAAGGCAGGCTGAAGAGAATTCTATGAGTCCAATGTTATTCGATTGGCCCCCCTGCGTTTTTAATGTTGTGGTCCAGTCCACCACGAAGGCTATTCTGCGGCCATGGAGCAATGGAGCTCACTTGTGGAGCTAAATTCCCTAGGAGCTGGCTGACTCCGCTGACGTCAGCAATTCGCAGTTGAGACGTCTGATCCTGTTTGGCTCTTTGGTTGACCAGGGTGTCTAGCCAAAATGCCTACCCCAATGCTCTTAAGCGCAACACTATATTTATATATACATTTGCTAGGCATCTCACATAATGACATGTTAGACATGTTACATGTTCTAACCATTGATGAAACAGCTTATTAAATTTGGAAGGCCGTGAGCGTCAAACTCCACACCCCCAACGTCCTTCTGTGGCTGTCGTGCTGCTTGGTGAGATCTACCTGCAGAAATTGGAATTCATTGCTTTTTCTGGTGGGTTCATGATGCTGCACTGGACGGGAACAGTGGCTACAAAATGAAGTGCCATTCAACTCGGTCAGTCACTTATATACGCTTATGTCAAGCCCGGATCCAGCGAAATCGAAGTGTGTCTTGGTCTTGGCGCCTTGAAAGGAACCAGGAGTAAACGTGTTTGCATCGAGCCAAACGCCTGGGATCTCAGACATTGCTGATATTGATTTTGTAGTGTGGGGAAGCATTCGCAAGGATTCAGTTGGGATGCCTGGGGAAGGTCAAAGCTGTGAGGTCAAGCTATGAACTTTGCTGTCGGAAATGCAATTCACGGGAAAACAAACATATGGTGGTTGATCTAAATTCTTTTCATCTGGAAAGTGCCTCTTCGCGAAAAAAAAAAATAACTACTTTCGCGAACCCCATGTTTAACTTTCGCGAACTTTCGCGAAGTATGATCTTACATATTCAGAAGAAGTTCGGGTACATGGGTATATATAGTAGTTAAAGGAAGACTCTGATTTCCTTCTGAGCTGGTGGTCTGAAAAGATCACAGTAAGCAAACAAATAAGGGTCCCTTTACCTACAAATAGCATACATGGTTACATGAAACTTTCGCGAACCCTGTGTTTAACTTTCGCGATCTTTCGCCCGGTTGGTACTTAGTAACCGAAATGGCTGTTCCATATGAAACTCCTTTCATGGACCTTTAGATCGATGCCCATATCAAAAAAAATACTAAACAGTAGGACTGCTGAAACCATACTGCAACCGCTCTCCTTGTGCGAGAGCCACAAGTTGTACTGGCTTTGATGTTTCAGGGGCAATCAGCAGTATTCCAAACCACCATAGGAACACGTCTTCATGGATCAACAAAACGGCATCTGAGCGTCAGCAGCGCCAGCATCAATGAGTGATTCTCCGGTCGGACCAAGCAGGGACAAAATACATCTTGAGTCATAGCATCGAGGTTGAACACATCTCTTTCAAGGCTTTGTTTTTCCGCATTACTCACTAAATTGCTACCAAAATACATTGTCTCACCAGAGCCAGTACAAGCAGCACGGGTAGACAAATCAGCCAATTGGCACGCTTTCGGCCTGCATCGCAAACATCAATGAGTCTTGACCGAGCAGAAACAGGACAAGGAACTCTACCAATATCCGTTGACCTTTGACTGCTTTGGGTGTTGAAAGGTCAAGCATACCCTCCCTCCGGAAATGAAGACCGTGATATGACAAACATCATTCATCATCATTAATTCGGAGACAACAAGTCAACTCACCGACTCATTCCTTCTCCCAGCAGTGGCCTGCAAAGTAGCTGGCCTGACAAGATTTTAAGACTTGGCTCTCGGGGCCTCTCCCATCAAGCTGAGCTGTTCCGCTTAGGTCTTATGCATAGGAAGGAGGGCAAACATACAAACGTCCAACGCAAATGTAAACCACTCACTCTGTTGGGATACTGATACCCTAAGACTCTAAGAGCTTGAGCCAGGATCTCAATTATATACCGCTAACCACTTACGTATAGTGACCAGTGAGGAGGAATTATCGCAATGAACGCAGCAGTGTAGGAGGGGTGCTAAACAGATTCTGCAGATTTTGGATCGCCCGAGTCAAATCCCATGCTTGTTCGTTTCAGATGCCAAGCAACCTACACGTTCAGTCCTTCAAAAAGCTACAGTGACACGAGTCCAAGCCTTTCGTACACGGTCCAGCGCATGAGGCCACATTGCTTCCTGTGTCCCTCGTCTTTGGAAGAAGCACAAGTCGCCCGGCAACTCTTTAAAGTGTTAACATAAGCAGGGCATTCTATGACAAGGGCAGTCTTCAATAGGTCCATTTTGCATTGTGTGCTCGTGTCACTGATCTGTACGGTGACCCAGAAGACAAGGTGGGCTTTAGCGGCTAAACCCATATACTTATCCATCGGAAATGGTGCAAGTATGTTCTCGTTATCGCTGACAATCCCTGCAATAGTTGATATGTGAAATCCGTGCTTGCTTCCTTTTCACAAACCTGAAGCATCCTTTTGCGGCACAAATGCTCCCCACCGTAAGGAGCAATTGGTGCAAGCTAGAAAAGCTGCGGGATGGATCCATGTCAATGCTGCATCTCGAATGTTTGAATGTTTGACTCTTAGGTAGAGGCCATCGCTATTGGGTGGAGGCCATCGCCACTAGTTTGAGGGGTGCGGGGGAGCGTGCAGCGCCTCCACAATGCAAACCACGTCTAGACATGGTTGCTCTTACCATGACACGACTGTCACGACATCTTCCAGTCCCCAAGCCAACCATGTCCTCGGGGCGGTCATCCTGCACCGATCAGCCAGGGACAGGAGGACAGGAAAAGCGAACGAATCCAAAGCAATAAGCCTATCATCAAAAGGAAGGAAAATGACCGAAACCTAAACAAACTGTTCAACTTAGAATACACCAGTTGGCAACTAAAGGGTCAAAGAGTGCAAGTCAAAATTCAGGCCTCGTTTTCTAACCCACAATGATGACGCACGAAGAACTGGATGTTCTCACCACCCTGGAGCACAGTGCAGTGTTAGCCATGCTGGGCTTCCCCTGTAAGACCAACCGACCAATCAACTGACCGACCAAGCAAATGTTGACATTGCGTCCCAGATCATCCCAAACTCTTTACATCGTGCCACCACGCTGGAAGCACCTGGAAACTGTTTCCAACCCGATTAATAGGAAAAGGAACCCAAAAGCGATTGCCTCCAACCTAATAGCCATGGCCTCCAACCTAATAGCCCTATCAAAGCTTGCCTCAAGTCTTTGCAAACTCCGGTCATGTTCTTTTCGTCTCCTGCGGAGATATATAAATACTGCAAGTCTGTGTTGCATTCTCCACTTGCAGCGTTTCGATAGGCTCCTACAACTCCCAAGCCTATCGTGTTTCACTACCAGCTCCTTGGATCCAGCAAAATATCTTTGGCATCAGTGGCTTTCTGGAAGAGCTCTTTATTCCCGCCCTGGGCAGCGGAAATCAACCAGCTGAGCCAAACTGTTACAGTAGTCCTCCCCTGCCGTCAAGTGACGGGTTTGTCGGGATGGAGTATCAGGGACAACCTCCTATACGCGCTTTCGATCTCCTGGCAGATCATCCAAAACGGACTTGCGGTACTTTCAAAAGGACAAAACACAGCACAAATAGAGTCCTGTGCGGTGGCAGTTCGCTCAACACCAAGAATAGCATAAAGGTTTGGGGACATGGGCTTTGCGAGGATTGCTTGGCTCTGCGGCTGTCACAGCAAACAATTGCTACTACGCTTGAAAGCTGGAAAGCAACATGCTAAAAGAGTTGATTGAAGATCTTTGAAGCATGTGTGCAGGAAAATCACCTCAAGACTCGCATGGAATGGTTCGTGTCTTTATGTTTCAAGGTGCAGCAACCGTGATGAAAGGATCAAGCT